ATTCTGGTTGCCTGGCTGTCATGGTGATCTAATGGCTTCAGTAAACTCCCGAGTCACTATCCAGAACAATTATGCTGGTGAGAATTTTTGGATTTGCATTCTAATCAACATGCTTGTTCTAGGTCAGTGATTTGAAATTTAGTACAGTTGCAAGACTTCTGAGAGCTCTTTTCTGCAAGGCATGGTTCACATCAGACAGTTCTTCTTGAAACCAGTAAAAACAGGTGTGTGTTTTTTAAGGGCAGGACAGCTGTCAGCAACACATCCAATATCATCACACTGATTGGAGTCAAGGTTGGCTCACTCCTGGCTCCAATTAGCTCTGGGAGAAGTCATTAAGCTAGGGCCTCACATACTTTTTCCTCCCTGCACTGTGAATATTTACATGTTATGTGCAATTAAATCATGGCAACATCTAATGTTTTGTGTAGTATTATGTTCAGCAGACTGTGTTCTTCTATTGTTGTGACTTAGGTGACGTTCAGAGCACATTTTATGCCCAATTCATGCAAAACTCCACGTAATCCCAAGGGGTTCACATACTTTTTCTTGCAACTGTATATGTTTTCTTTAATGCACTATGATATTTGACTTTAGGCAAAGGTTGATCAGTACATCTATTATTATTTGATAGTGTTACTTTATTTTTGTGTTTGGCATTTACTCAAGCATTCTCATCCTATTCATGGATCATGACCCTGATACTGCTGTAATTCTGGGGGGAAAGGAGAAGAATTCAACCGTAGTCTACTTCTGTCTCCGCGAGGGGAGTATCAAAGTGTTTTTCTTTGGATGAATTTCTTGGCTTTTTCATACTCTTCACTCTGCTTATAGCCTATAGTGAGAATATTTGTGAATTGTGGCAGATAATTACACTGCAAACTTTTTTAATATGATGAATCAGGCAAATTAATCCCTGAGTGAATTCTCAAAATGTTCTAGATTTTTGCCATTTTAGATTGAATTTTCCAAAAACCATCATGTGTAAAATCCATTTAACTGCCTTTCTTTTGAATACCTGTTTAAAAATAATTTGTGAGATAGGGAGAAACTGTTTGCACACAGGTCCAATGTGGCCAAATGTAGCCATGTTATCTTATGTTTGTTCCCATCTGATCTGGATGTTCTGATCAGGCGAGAAATGTCTGGATTGTGCAAATTTGACCATAAGACCAAATAGAATTCGGCCCTGTGCTTTAATCTGCTTTCCATTAACTACAATTAAAATAAATAGAAGATCTGAGCCAGATCAAACTGCAGCTTGACTTGGTGTTGTATTTTAAGATGAGAATGAAAATACAAAGGAAAGAAAATATGTGAATGTTCCAGGGAATGAACAGGAAAACTAAAGGCATGTATTGTACTGTAGTCGCCATCCTGCTGTTAGAAAGAAAAAGAATATTCAAAATACAGACCTAATATTGAAGTAACAGACTGAAGTACACACTTGCCTTAGACTCTTATTAGAAATCTTTAAGTTGTCGTGCACACAATAGGCGACCAACCTGACACAAAAGTGCTCAATGCCAAGATTAAATGGCACCAAGCATCACAATACTAAGCACCCTCAATTTCAGGAATTACTGCATACAGTTTCAAGATGCATTTGTTACAATATAATGAACCTTCTAACAATGCCTCCTAACAATCTCCTTCACTGTTATTAAGGATGTAGTCTTTATTTTTAGTCCTTATTGACATGGTATTATGGTATATATGTTAAATCAGTCATGACAGCAGTTGCCTATATAACATACAGCACCATTGCCATTCCAAAACCGAGCTCTTGGTCTTCCCCCCCCGTGCCCCCCCCCCCCCATCCTCTCCATCACTACTAACAACGCCACCATCTCTCCCACCCCCACACGCCAAAGTCCTGGGTGTCACCCTGGACTCCCACCTCTCCTTCCTACCCCACATCCAACTGCTATCTAGATCTTGCAGGCTCCACCTCCGCAACATCTCTAAGATACGCACATTTCTCACCCCAGACACCACCAAACAACTCGTACACTCCCTTATCATCTCACGCCTGGACTATTGCAATTTCCTTCTCACTGGCCTACCCAAACGAACGCTATCCCCACTCCAGCCGATCCTACACTCAGCGGCCAGACTCATCCACCTCACTAAGCGCTCCACATCTGCCTCCCCCCTCTGCCAATCCCTTCATTGGCTCCCGATTGCCCAACGCATCAAGTTCAAGCTGCTAACCCTGACCTACAAGGCCACTCACAATGCCGCCCCGAACTACATAACTGACCTGATACCCAGATACTACCCTACCCGTGCCCTCCCGCTCCTCACAGGACCTCCTGCTCTCTAGCTCCCTGGTCTCCTCCTCCCACGCCCGATTGCAGGACTTCTATAGGACCTCCCCCATCCTCTGGAACTCCCTACCCCAATCCATCAGAATGTCATCTGCCCTCCTCACCTTCAGGCGCACCCTGAAAACCCTCCTCTTCAGGGAAGCCTACCCCAACCTCACCTAACACCCGACCTCACCTAATAATTAACCTCCTCCACTCCACCCACCACTCCATCCCCCACAGCCATCTCCTCCTGTGCCACCTTCCCCTCCCTCCTAGATTGTAAGCTTGAAAGAGCAGGGCCCTCGAACCCCTCGTGTAGTGTATTGTTACTGTCTTGTCTCATGTTATGTCCCCCTGCTACTGTACAGCGCTGAGCATACCCTTTGGCGCTATATAAATACTGTATAATAATAATAATAACAATAATTGTTATTATAATAGGAAATAACGCTCTGGTTGTTACTAGGCACTCCTTCACCATTTTACCTTTGAACCATTGTTATACTGTAACAGGGGTGGACTGACAACTCATGGGACCCCCAGGCAATAGGGGATCATGGGGCCCCTGTGTCCTTGCCCAAACTCAAAAAAGCCTATGAAAAAGGTACCAGAGGCATCTCATGGGGCCCCCTACTGACCCCGGGACCTCAGGCAGTGCCTGAGTTTCCAAATGGTCAGTCCGCTCCTGTAAATTAGAATCTATGAAATTATGGAAATTATGGATTTTTAGGGGGATCTTTGCATAGTGCAAGCAATTTACCTACCATCACCTATCAAGGAGTTATTGGATAAATCTTCAAGTAAATAAAAAAAAAAAATTTTAATGATTTTTAATTTACAATGTTTTACCAAAATTAGACTATTCCGTTACGTGCTAAACAAAAAAAAGTGTTATATCAATAAGATCTTTGTGTTCTGTAACTACAGAACACAAAGATCTTATTAATATAACACTTTTTTTTGTTTAGCACGTAACGGAATAGTCTAATTTTGGTAAAACCTTGTAAATTAAAAATCATTAAAATTTTTTTTTTTTTATTTACTTGAAGATTTATCCAATACCTCCTTGATAGGTGATGGTAGGTAAATTGCTTGCACTATGCAAATATCCCCCTAAAAATCCATAATTTCCATAATTTCATAGATTCTAATTTTCAGCATGCAACCTGTCTGGTCAGGAAATAAAAAAACAGCTACATGCCCGTTTTGAGGTCATATGGCTGGTTTACCCTTTTTTTGGGGGACTTTGTTGATGAAGACAATGATCTGTTCCCCACAACCCTGGCAGGTGGTTGTGGGGGTCTGCAGGCAGGAGCTGATCGGAATCTGGAAGCCCGCTTTAATAATAAGGTGGGCATCAGATACAACATCCCTCCCTATGTGAATGAGTAAGGGGTGCATAGTACCCCTAATCATTCACAAAAATATGTTATGTAATCTAAAAATAAAAACACCCAAATGTTTAAAAACATTTGAAAAAATTTAAATCCTCAAAAATGTGTTTCGCAAATCCATCATCAGTCATGATGCCTGCTCTGCATTGACTTGCCAGAAAAAAAAAGTTGACCCAGAACACACGACTGTTTCCGATCGACCTGCTCACCAAATGACAGCTCATTGAGCAGTCATCAGCTATGTAAGAGAAGGGGCAGGGGTAGTAGTGACATAATTGCCTGAATATGGCCATAAGGCTATATTTGGCAATGATGTAGCCCCTTCAATCCCCCCCCCCCACTTTAATTGAGAATGAATTGTGAGGGACTGTGCTAAAGATGACGACATCCTGGTAGTAATAATTACTGACCGCTAATAGTGAAGACTTGGACTTTGGAAATGCAGTGACTGGATGTGTCACTTGTCATGTTGAGGGTGATAATTATGTTATGGCACTGAGTGTTATTGGGATACTTGTCAGCATTGATAAGAATTGTCCTCTGTCCATTTCCAGAACATACAGAAGATTGTGAGTGTTGTGACTCTGAAATCATTTCATGTAAGGGCTGTGTCTGATGACACAACTCCTGCCTGAGTGGGGGAAAAGGTGGTCAGGCAGGTACAGGGGTCATGGGACAGCATGCAAGGCAGAGGGGCCATAATATTTTTGTGGGTCACAGGGGTGCACTTACTTTTGCTCTCCTTTGACTCAGTATCAGCCAATAGGCTGAAGCCCACTGTCAGCTGACATCACAGAACTTCTAAAGGCTCTGAAGGATCCTGACCATATTGTTGGGATCCGGCCAGCTGCCTGATTGACAACTTTATCCAGCTTTCAGTGCAAAGCTGAGAGCGAAAGCCAACAGCACCCATCCCCACCCCAACCTGGTATTCCAGTGAGCACTGGAGGGGCAGAGCAGACAGTGGTGGTTGACAGTCATGGCTCTCTTCTCTGAGAAGAGCTGCGCAATCAGTGGTCATGTGATCGCTCAGTTCTCAGGTTTAGATCCCATGTGGGACAACTGTAGCTTCACACTGATGCAGCATTGAAGTGAGTATGTTTGTTTTTTATTAACCCCATACATCTCCATTAACTGCGTCCCATCTGCCCTATAGCGGAAATACTGCTACAGGTCGGCACAGCTGCGCAAAATCATGTATATATACGTGATTTTGCATTTCCGAGTAGGGGGCTCGCGCCCTACCTGTGCCATTATTCACGGCTGTGGCTGTCAATCACTGGGTCCCGGCCAGTAATTACTTGCCAGTGCTCAGTGATTTCCAAAGATCTCCAACGGGGAGGGGGACTGTTTTGTTTACTAACAGTCCTCCTCCCTGTCAGCTCGGACACACTGCTCTGGATGACTGTGCACAACAGAGCCATCCAGAGTTGTGTGATTACAGTGAAGTATGGCCCCCTAGTTAAACACCCCTATCACACAGTTAACCCTTTGATCACCCCTCATATTAACCCCTTCCTGCCCAGTGCCATTAGTACAGTGTCAGTGGGGGTTTTTTTTAGCACCGATCACTGTATTGGTGTCACTGGGGATGTCAGTGACACCAAGTTTGTTCCCCCCAGTGTCAGAATGTCCATTGCAGTCACTGATCGCCACCATTACTAGTAAAAATTAAAAATAACAAAAAAAACCTCAGTATATATACTGTCATTTGTAAAATGCTATAACGTTCGCTTAAACCAATTAATTTACATGTATTGGGGTTTTTTTTTTTAGCAAAGACATGTAGCAGAATACATTTTGGTGTAAATTTATGATGAAATTTGATTTTTTAAAATTTTTTTACTGGACATGTTTAACAGCAAAAAGTTAAAAATATTGTTTTTTTCTCAAAATTGTCCATCTATTTTTTTTTTTATAGCGCAAAAAATAAAAAACGCACAAGCAATCAAATACCACCAAAAGAAAGCTCAATTTGTGGGGAAAAAAAGGATCTAAATTTACCAGAGCCATACAAAGCAGTGTACTTACAGTGGAAAGCACACACACAGCACACAATTAACCATTTGATCACCACACATGTTAACCCCTTCCTGCCCAGTGTCATTAGTACAGTGTCAGTGCTTTTATTAGCACTGATCACTGTATTGGTGTCACTGGGGATGTCATTGACACCAAGTCAGTTCCCCCCAGTGCCAGAATGTCCACTGCAGTCCCACTATAAGTCGCTGATCACCACCATTACTAGTAAAAAAAAAAAAAAAATTTCTGTATAAATGCCACCATTTGTAAACGCTATAATTTTCATGTAAACCAATTAATTTACACGTATTGGTATTTTTTTTTTTGTACCAAAGACATGTAGCAAAATACGTTTTGGCCTAAATTTATGACGAAATTTCATTTTTAAAATTTTTTTACTGGACATGTTTAATAGCAAAAAGTCAAAAATATTGTTTTTTTTCTCAAAATTGTCAGTCTTTTTTGCTTATAGTGCAAAAAAAAAACGCACAGGCGATCTAATACCACCAAAAGAAAGCTCAATTTGTGGGAAAAAAAGGACGTAAATTTAATTTGGGTGCAGCATTGCATGACTGCACAATTGTCAGTTAAATAACACAGCGCCATATTGCAAAAAATGGCCTGGTCAGGAAGGGGATAAATCCTCTGGAGGGCAAGTGGTTAAACAATATCTTTATTTTCCAAAAATAATCCATACACTTCCACTACTTATTGGCACTGTAATTTATTTTTCATGAAATCATTCCTTACTGTGTTCTTCTGCCTCCTTGTATCATCCTCCATGATCTCCCAAACCTCTGCTTTTCCCTCTCACTTCTGTTTGTTTGGAACAAGCAGCATTAACCAGTTGCCTACAGGGCACTTATACCCCCTTCTTTACCAGGCCAATTTTCAGCTTTCAGCGCTGTCGCACTTTGATTGACAATTGCGCAGTCATGCAAGATTGTACCCATATGAAATTTTTATCATTTTTTTCTCACAAATAGAGCTTTCTTTTGGTGGTATTTAATCGCCACTGGGCGCTTTACTTTTTGCACTATAAACAAAAAAATTGCACAAAATTTGAAAAAAAAAAAAGTTTCTTTGTTTCTATTATAAAATTTTTCAAACAGGTAATTTTTCTCATCTCACTGATGTGCGTTGATGAGGCAGCACTGATGGGCACTGATAGGCAGCACTGATAGGCAGCACTGAAGGGCACTGATAGGCAGCACTAATGAGGTGTCACGGATAGGCGGCACTGATAGGCAGCACTAATGAGGCGGCACGGATAGGCGGCACTGATAGGTGGCACTGATAGGCGACACTGATGATGGGTACTGATAGCACTGATAGTTGGCACTGACTGGCATCACTGCTGGGCACTGACTGGCAGCACTGCTGGGCACTGACTGGCACAACCTCTGGGCACTGACTGGTGGCACTGACTGGCAGCACTGCTGGGCTGCACTGATGGGCACTGGTGGGCACAGGTGGGTGGCACTGATGGGCACAGGTGGATGGGCACAGGTGGGTGGCACTGATGGGCACAGGTAGGTGGCATTTCTGGGTACAGGTGTGGGACACTGCTGGGCAAAGGTAGGTGGCACTGCTGGGAACAGGTGGGTGCACTGCTGGGCACAGGTGAGTGCACTGCTGGGCACAGGTGTGCGGAGCTAGTGGGCGCACTGCTGGGCACAGGTAGGCGGAACTTGTGGGTGGCACTGCTAGGCACCGATCATCAGGGCACTGATCATCAGTGCCCTGATGATCGGTGCCGATCCCTGCTCTAACAACTGCCGGTTCTCGGCAGTACTTTCCTCACGATCTGACAGCGTGAGGAAAGTGCAGCCGAGAACCGGCAATTGCATTTCCCGGTGATCAGCATGTCATTGGACACGGCTGATCACGTGGTAAAAGGACGTTGTGATTGGCCTTTTACCACATCACGTGATCAGCTGTGTCCGTAGGACACAACGATCACAGAGATCGCCGGGTGCATGCCCCCGGGGGTGCGCAGGAGAGCGCGTTCTGGGAGGACGTCATATGACGCCCACCCAGAACTGGCGGCCGCAGTGTAGCCGTCATTTGGCTATCTGCGGTCGGCAAGTAGTTAATGTAAGTTGCAGTCATGTGTACTGCTCTATGTATACTACAAATGACATAGTCTATATTCCATCTAGGAAGCCAGCAAGAGAGGGTGTCTACATTCCTATGTACTGTGGGACCATGGAGAATGAACTTGGACACCCACTAACAGGAAGTCAGATCACAACAGCGAAAAAAGGAATTTGGAGATTTGGAGGAGGCTGAGAACAATAAAATGTAACGTTTTTGAGCTAAGAATACATACTTGAATATATTTTTTTAACTGGAGTTTATTTTCACTTTAAGGGCTGGTGCACACAGGAACAAACAGCTATCAGACTGCTTTACCTCTCTGGCAGCTGTGTGTTCCCAGCTGTGGTAGGGAACAGTGTGGGGCACAATTCAGTGCATCTCACACAAGTCTTTTTTTTGTATTCGTACAAACTTTATTTGAAGTGTACAAAATGTACACTTCATTCAGGCACTGTATAGCAGCGTGATGTGCTGCGCTGCTGTACAGTACCAAGTAATTCTGTACAGTGTGCTGCGAAAAAATGCTGCATGCTTCCAGCGCAGCCCTAGGCTGCGTTGGAGAGTGAATAGGGTGGCCAGGAAACCATTGTTTTCTGTGTGTCCTTGCAGTGACAGGTGTTTTACAGTGCAGTAAAACTCCCATCACCACACTATGTGTGAAGTACTTCTAAGTCTAACCTGCTATACATAGTTAGCCATTTCAGGCTATAAAGAAATGACCAGCAGTGTTTTGTGAAGGGGATACTGCACAGGAAATCAGCAGTGTGCAAATAAATCTCTCAGCGCATAATAACAGATGTTTTTATTGGTAATGAGTTTACAAATGCCTTTTTTATTACAACCTATATCTGTAAATTAATATAATTTTAGTTGTTTAGTATTTTATATTGAATTCTCTTGATCCTGATTTTTTGATTGTAATCTTTATCAGGTAGCGTATTTACCAGAAGGCAAACAAGGCATTTGCCTAGGGCGGTATTTTTTAGGGGGGCAGCCCTGCCCCCCGGAAGAAGGAACATATGTGGCATGGGGACCAGGTGGGATCCGAGAGAGGCGAGCTGCTTGATGGTGTATGCAGAGCCCGACTGTCATTCCCAGGGATGTCCAGATTTGTAAAGGCGAGTGTCCCACTCTCTGTCGCCGGGGGCAGGAGTGTTGTTGGTCACTGCCAGGCTCCCTCCTGGAGGGGGAGGTGGTCTGGTGTTGGTCAGTGTCAGGCTCTCTCCGCTGGGGGGGGGGGTTGTGTGTTACCTAGGGCAGCACAAAACCTAAATACACCACTGATCTTTATTGAGGATACTTTCAGTACAGCTCAGTGGCCACTAATGATCCAGGCAGGGGCGGACTGACCATTTGGAAACTCGGGCACTGCCCGAGGGCATGGGGTCATTAGGGGGCCCCATGAGATGCCCCTGGTACCTTTTTCATAGGCTTTTGCCCGGGGGCCCCATGAGTTGTCAGTCCGCCCCTGGATCCAGGTATTACATTGTCTTGAGCAAACAATGTACATCTACTGTATGATGCAGCAATATCACAAAATCTATTGTGTCGAAGTTCAAACAGACATTTGACCAGGGGCGGACTGACCATTTGGAAACTCGGGCACTCCCCGAGGGCCCGGGGTCAGTAGGGGGCCCCATGAGATGCCCCTGGTACCTTTTTCATAGGCTTTTTTGAGTTTGGGCAAGGACACAGGGGCCCCATGATCCCCAATTACCCGGGGGCCCCATGAGTTGTCAGTCCGCCCCTGCATTTGACCATACCAATTCAATGGTAAAATATGCATAAGAAGTTTGATACCTAGTAAAAAGCCTGTCTTCTGCTCTAGCGCTTCACAATATCTCTAGTACAATATTTGTGTTCAAAGGAAAAAAGGTAACAGGGTAAGATAAGTGTATAGAGGGTAATGGAATTAGAGAAGAGAGGAGGGGTGGAGGGGGTGATAAAGTGGAACTCAACTAAAACATTCCAAAGTACAGTCAAGTTCATAGGAACCTCCATTCTATTGGCAGGGTAATGTGGAGAGGCAAAGGCAATGAACTACTAGACAACCTTAAATCCTGATTGAACTGTGCTGGGTAAATCACCAGACAGTGATAGAGGTCATGCTGCACATCATAATAAATAAACACAACCTTTGGAGTACACTGATGATGTGTCTGAGAGGTCATAGATTGTACACGTGTACGTTCATCCATAGATAAAGTGACACATGAACTGTAGATCAATAATCAAAACACATAGCAGCCATATTGTAAATAAACATAGTGCTGCAGTATTTTAGTCACCGGTCACACCACTGCAATTTAAAATCATGTCATTTGTGTGCAATTTCAGCGCAATTTCAGGTGTGATTTCTGAAGACTTTATTGGTACTTGTGAAGAGTTTCAACAATTTCTTGCAATTTGCAGTGCGATTTCTATTATGTTCTATGCATGTGAAATCGCAACAAAACTGCAGAAGAAGTAATGCAAGAACTACTTTAGAAATCACGCTGCAGCAAATCGCACATGTTAAGTCACTGACATTCACATTCATTAGCTGCGATTTCAGGTGCAATTTCAATTAGCAAATCACACCTGAAATCGCACTGGTATGACCAGGCCCTTATTAGGCTCCATGTACACGGGATGTTTGGAAAACACTTCTGAACGATGGTTAACTGACTGCTGGAAAACGTAGGTTAAAAAAAGTCTGTTTAGCTGTATTTTCATATCGCGTTTTTGCGCATTTATGAGCTTTTGCGTTTAGAAGCACTTTTTAAAGATAACCTCAGAAGACCTTCCAAAATGCCCAGAATGCACTGAAAAACAGTAAGAGATTAACTATTTCAGACATTTTGAGAGAAATAGAGAGAGCAGAAGCAGAGAGCAGTATTTGTTGAGATTAGCTGTCTTTTTTTTTTTTGTGGTGTTTGGATGTGTTCCAGCTCATTTCTGTGCAGAAATTATTGCAGCAGTGTCTAACATATTTTATTTCATGCAAAACCTCAAAGTATGGTGTACCAGGTCCATTTGAGTACCGGGAAAACACTTTGCATGCATTTTTCATGATGAAAAAAGGCTCTGTACAGCATCTGGGAATGGAAGAGATCAAAAAATTTTCCAA